CTCCACATTTTAATATGTCAACTCAATTTGATCCACCTTGTGAATTTTTCAACTCATTTTATGTTAACTTGTCAAGACTGTTGACTAAATCTCTTCGAATGTGGTGTATTTTTTTACTTTATTAATAACATTTCAGAGAGATAAACAAGTAGCCATATAAATAGTCCAAGACTGAAAAGCTTTTCTCAACCAGACTGCAACTATTGGGTAACTATATCTTTTGATTTTCGGGATAAGTTACCTTTCAAAACTTGTATCATTGTATTAACATACATGATACACCAAAAGGTTGTTTGCCATTAATGTTTGGATGTGTGATGTGTGGAACACATTCACAGGCTAATAGCATTTTTTACGAGTTAAGGCCTGAATGCATACCCTATATTTTGAGGACCACTAGCTAAAACGGAAGCAAAATTGACAAATTGCTAAGTCAGACCTAGCTACCCCACTTTAATATGGTAAGAATTTGATTCGGATAACTGAGCCGTTAGAGCTTTAAAACTCTATATGTTTGAGAACTTAATTCGAATCTCGAGATGAGTAAGTAAAACTCTTGCCATTATTTGAACCTGGTTGGGTTTCAGCTTCTAACATATAGCAGATACAATATGGGATGTGGCCATAACATGTTGGCCCGCTAGAATTGGGCTTAGTGCAAAAGAAGCGACAGATCTAGGCTCCTTCCTTTTCATTGGAGAGAGAGAGAGAGACTCGTTTTAGTTTTTATGGTTTTAACTTGGTGCTCTTTTCTTGTATGTCTAGATTTTCTTTACAACAGATTTTCTTACTTATTTTAAATAAATAAATTACTTATTCAATAGTACTTATTGAAAAATGTCAAAGTGTTCAAATAAATACTATTAAAGTATTATTATTTATTTATTATGCCAGGTTATTTGTAAGTAATTAGACAATTGACAGTCGGATAAGTATAAGTAGTAACAATTAGAGATACCCAATCACAATCGTAAACTAGAAATAAGGCATGATCAGAAACTCCCTGTCTTGTGCATGTGCTTGAGGTTTTGAGTATGTCAAGAATGACATAAACATGAGGAAGGCAAAAGAGTAAACCAATGGCGACATTGCAGAAGATGAGGTAGACACACCAGTCACCAGAGAAGAGAAGACAAGGAGCCTGGCTGGGTTGTGAAGGGGATACCACGTTCGCCGTGGGCCATTGCCAGCCGAGCTCCAGTTCTGACTCGAGTCAACGTGGAAAATGGTCCTTAAGGCTCGAGCCATGTTAAAGCAAAGGCCTGAGGTTTAGCCCACGTTGGCCCATGAGCTCGCCATTTTGAATTTTGATTTGTGACCAAGTTGTGGCAAGGCTCTGACCATTGTGAAATGGCCTCAAACTTCTCAAAATCCGGTTAGCTTTTAAATGAAGAACCATATGAAGAAAGATAGACACCTACAAAAGATTCTTGACGTTATCAAAAATTGATACCGACAATAGTCAAGAATAGGTAGAAGTACATCTATAATATATATAAAAATAAAATAATTGATTGAATCAATTGATCGACATTTGTTATTTTTAATTAAATTAATTTTTTACTTTTATTTATTTTAATAAAAAATACTTAACAATAATAATTTTTAATTTTTAATATTCAGAGAATAGATTCATTTAATATTTATCAATTATAATTAATATTATTTTTTAACTATATCTTTTTATTCTTCATAAACCTGAATTCATAGTATTTAGATATCTTTTTTATACATAAATATTTAAATTTCAATAAATATCCATCCAATTCATTAAACAAAAATAAAAAAGTCAAGAAGGTCTACTCATAGCATACAATCATCATTGAATAAACAAATCAACTAAATTTAACGACTTTTAACCATTCATTTTATATATAAAAGACAGATATTACTAAAAATATTTTACATTGATTTCTCAATATACATAGCACACAATCATAATTGAATAAAAAAATCAATTGAATTTGACAACCTTTAACTATTCTTTTTATACATAGAAAACAAATACTATTAAAAATTAGTAATTATTTTATATTGATAGCATCTTTACATTATATTGGTACCTTATATTCTACATCTGTTTATCTTAATCTGTCAATAGTATTGATTATATATACTCTCTCATTTATTAATATTTTATTATACATTTAACAATTTTTTATAAGATTATTGTGTTTTTTTAGATAAGTACTGTTTTATAACTATATATGTAGGTGCAGGTTCTTAATAATTGAAACCAGAGTAAATAATTATTTTTAATTAATCCCAATATTTTTTCTTTTACCAATAAAAATCATACATTCATAAAGTTTAGTAATACAATATAACACAATAATTGAAACCAAAGAAATTGAAACAAATGTCTATGGCAAAAGAAAGAGCAAAATGTTATTATAGTTAAATATATTTAACGGTTGTGTAACAGGTTATATTCCATTAACATTTAATTAAGTACAATCATCATTGAATAAACAAATCAATTAAATTTAACAACCTTTAACCATTCATTTTATATATAAAAGACATATATTACTAAAAATATTTTACATTGATTTCTCAATATATATAACACACAATCATAATTGAATAAAAAAATCAATTGAATTTGACAACCTTTAACTATTCTTTTTATACATAGAAAACAAATACTATTAAAAATTAGTAATTATTTTATATTGATAGCATCTTTACATTATATTGTTACCTTATATTCTACATCTGTTTATCTTAATCTGTCAATAGCATAAATTATATATACTCTCTCATTTATTAATATTGTTTATCTTAATCTGTCAATAGCATAAATTATATATACTCTCTCATTTATTAATATTTTATTATACATCTAACAATTTTTTATAAGATTATTGTGTTTGTTTAGATAAGTATTGTTTTATAACTATATATGTAGGTGCAGGTTCTTAATAATTGAAACCAGAGTAAATAATTATTTTTAATTAATACCAATATTTTTTCTTTTATCAATAAAAACCATACATTCATGAAGTTTAGTAATACAATATAGCACAATAATAGAAACCAAAGAAATTGAAACAAATGTCTATGGCAAAAAAGAGAGCAAATTGTTATTATAGCTAGATATATTAAACGGTTGTGTAATAACATTTAATTAAGTACAAGTCCTGTATCTAAAAAGTTGATATCTATGATCTAATAAAAATAAAAACCTCCACATCACAAATGTTATTCATTTTGTTTGAAAAATATTTTTTTAATGAAAAAAAATTACTGAATGTTTAATAAGATTATTATCTTTTTTGGTTCAGTACTGTTTCATAACCATATATTTAAAAACAACTTTTAGTGATTGAAACCAAAACAAATAACTATCTTCAACTAATATCAATTTATTTTTTCTTTTAGCACCAGAAACCATGAGTTCATTCAGTCGATTAATACAATATAACTCTTCTTACAAATTCTTTTGAAAGTATCAAATTAAAGTCTACTCTAATATAATCTATATTTCTTGTAATTTTTTCCGTAACGTAGCTACGAACACCATCTTAGTGTAAATTTAATGACATGAACCAGTCATATCATCAATCATAAAAAGGACAAGAGCATTTTAATTAAGCTTATAATTTTATATACCAACCATAGAGTTAATATAAACTCTATAAATAACTTAATAAAATTATTTTGTGCCCATCTAATATAAGACTAATTAAGCATAATTTAATGAATACATGATAACCCTTAAAATTCACTTGTGAAATTTAGAAATTTTAATTTCAATATCTACGATAAGTTTTGCAATTAATTGTGACCTCAGACCATACAGGGTATGTACGAGTGTAATTTATTGAAATTTACAAATTACTTGTGGGTTAATGCATTTGAAATGGTTAGTAACTTGGGGCCACAAATCTTAACAAAATAAAGTATTTATGTTTATCTATTCATTAATTTGACTAGCAAAATGTATACATAGTGTTTTTTTTTTCCTTTAAAAAAGACTACTGGTAAGAACAAAGAACAACAGGCCAAGTACATTGTTCTAAATTTCATTCCAAATAGGGATGTGGTGTCCCTAAAACTAGCAGACAGAGCAAGAAAGCCAAGGAGGGAAATTGAATCTTTCTCGGGCATTGGTCTTTGATCCACGTGGGTACCCAAAGCTCAAATTAGACACGTGTTTTAAGTGGTACGTGTAACTGCACCAGCCCTACAAATACCGAATACAGGTCATAAGAAATTGAGTAAAACGACTTTCGACATCTAAAATTAATTGAAGAAAAAAAACTAATAAAAAAAGGCTTTCAAAGAGATCAAGGCCAAAATATGGAAAATGGGGACTGCCACGTGAGTAGCCATGTTTAAAGGAGGAGGTGTACCAATTATGGCGGCTGGCTCACTTGGTCTATGTAATCCCATGTTCAAAAATTCAATTCTTTTTGCGTAAAAATATTATTTTATTGTGGAGTGAAATGGTTTTGATTTTCATATAAATAAATATCGGGCCATTTAATAATTTAATTTGGTAAGCGTAATCCCAAAGCCAATATTTGATGTTTGAGCATAGAAAAGCATATTTGGAGTAGAGAAGAGATATATAACCTTCCTTGGTAGAAAGAATGGGTATTCTTTGTAAATTAGAATAATGAAGATTCTATCTTAATATCGTGTTTTATGTTTGAAGGGATTAAAAGAATATTCGAGTAGGTGAGTATTTTCCCATTTTAGCTTATCTTCATTATAAAATATAAACCAATAAAGAGCAAATAGAAAATGGAGGATTGTATGCCTACATGCATGTATGTAAAAAGAACTCCTCCTTTCCCAAGTTCAAACTCATCTCTTACGTGTCTACTCCTCCATTACTGACTGGAGTTAGCTTAATAGTCACCCACTTACACTTTTTTCTCTTTATATAAAGTCTTCCCACCAATATAACCTACCAAAATATAGCCTCGCACATATTTTTCTTTCCACAACCTTCTTCGCCACTTCCTTCTTCCCACCCACTCTTTCTAACCATGCAAGCCTCCCTTCACTTGTTCGCCACCACTCCACCAACCCCAAAGCTTCAAAATCTCTTTCAAGCTCAATATCCATTATTTACATGCAAAATTCTTATTAATCCTTCCAAGAAAATAACTCCTCGAAATCCATCACCGTTGTTTCCACCACCACCACCACCATCACGGTCACCTTTGTATCCTGAGGTTGAACCTATTCTCAAGCCTGAACGTGTCTTGGTTCCACAAGAACCAAACTACCCGGTTCACTTGAACCCATTGCAAAAGTTAGCAGCGTTAGCGTTGGACCAAATTGAGACCTCAGTGGTCAAGCCACTAGAAAAAAACCATAACTTGCCTAAGACGGTTGACCCAGCGGTTCAAATATCAGGCAACTTTGCACCGGTTCAAGAGTGTTCAGTTCAGCACGGGTTGGAAGTGGTGGGCAAGATTCCAGCTTGCCTACGTGGCGTCTATGTCCGAAACGGTGCCAATCCTATGTTTGCACCCTCAGGTGGACACCATTTGTTTGATGGTGATGGAATGATCCATGCCGTTGGCTTGGGGCTTGGGAATAAAGCTAGTTATAGCTGTAGATATACTCGTACCAGCCGGCTCATGCAAGAAGCCAGGTTGGGTCGGTCTATATTTCCTAAACCAATTGGTGAGCTGCATGGGCACTTGGGTTTGGCTCGGTTAGCTTTGTTCATGGCTCGAGCTGGTGTTGGACTGGTTGATGGTTCACATGGCACGGGAGTGGCAAATGCCGGGCTTGTTTACTTCAATGGTCGATTGTTAGCCATGTCCGAAGATGATCTTCCTTATCATGTTAAAATCAATGCTGATGCTGATCTTGAAACTATGGGACGGTTCAATTTTGATTATCAAATTGATTGTCCATTGATTGCACACCCCAAAGTAGATCCTGTTACAGGTGAGTTACACACTCTCAATTACAACGTTTTAAAGAAACCTTACTTGAAATATTTCAAGTTCGATAAATTCGGGAAAAAGTCACGTGACTTGCACGTGATCATAGATCAGGCAACAATGATACATGACTTTGCTATAACAGAGAATTTTGTAGTGATCCCGGATCATCAAGTGGTATTCAAGTTATCCGAAATGATTCGGGGCGGGTCACCTGTTCTATATGACAAAAAGAAGACATCTCGATTTGGAATTTTGCAACAAAATGACGTTGATGGATCAAATATCCAATGGATTGACGTACCGAATTGCTTCTGTTTCCATTTATGGAATGCATGGGAAGAACATTCTGATAATGGTGATAAAATCATCGTCGTTATCGGATCCTGCATGAGCCCGCCCGACTCCGTTTTCAACGAGTCCAAAGACCCGTTCCGAAGTGAACTATCCGAAATCCGGTTGAACTTAAGAACAGGAGAGTCCACGCAAAGGGTTATTATATCAGGCATGAACTTGGAAGCAGGGCAAGTGAACCGGCAATATCAGGGTCGGAAGACCCGGTTCGTGTACCTGGCAATAGCAGAGCCATGGCCAAAGTGTTCTGGTATTACTAAAGTCGATTTGGAGACAGGAGAAGTTACCAAGTTCATGTACGGTGCATGCCGTTTTGGGGGTGAGCCATTTTTTGTGCCTGAAAAGAAGCAGAAACATGGAGGCAATATTACTAATGAGGCTGAAGATGAAGGATATATAATGGGGTTTGTGAGAGATGAGAAGAAGGAGATTTCTGAGCTGGTGATAGTGAAAGCTTTGAGCATGGAGCAAGTGGCTGCTATAAGGCTGCCCACAAGGGTTCCATACGGGTTTCATGGCACGTTTGTCAGTGAGGAAGAGCTCAACCGACAAGTCATGTGAAAATAGTTTGGCTTGGGTGTATATAAATTTATAGAATATATATAGAAATAGAAGTTCGTACAGACTCTTCTTTATTTTTTGTCTTTCTAATTTCCATTTTACCGTTTAGGAAATGGACGTATAGATCGAGTTCATGTGTTTAAATAAGTACCAATAACCGTGCATTAATTAAGTTTTATAAGTTCTATTTTCAGTGCCAGATATACACGTAAAGATTGAGACTTACTGATATATAACGATAATAAGAAAAGATGAAGGAAGAAAAGTTCTTCATTTAATAGAATGGAAAGAAAATGGAGAAATTTATATTTTTCATTTTCTTTTAAATCTAATATTCCAAGATTGCAAAAGAATCATTATTTTTACTTATATTATTGATAATTTTATTAGTAATATCTTTTATTTCTCCATACAGTATTTCATCTTTCATAACGAATATGACGAAGGAAAAACAATTTTCCTTCGTTTTCCATGTTCTTCTTTCCTAGCCTTTTCCCTTCTATTTATTTTCTTTTCTTCTTAGCAAACATAGTGCAGTTCTATGACATTGGCAAACGTTAGGACTCGGTGTTTATTGTTTGAAAGGTGAGTGGTTGACGGTGTGACGGTTAATTTGTTGTTAAATATTAATGCCACGTATTGAAGTTTCCAGAGGCAATGTTAACAAGTGTGTCGACCTTTGTGACAAATGTTGCTAGTATTTCTTTTGCTTTTTCATTTTCTTTACCATCCGGTTCTTGTAACCATCCCAACACTTAATATTTCTCTTTTTTTTTTTCTGACATATTAATCCGGATAATCTATATTATGTTCGATATCTCAGCATTCACCTCTATATATTAATTAGATTTAGAAAAATTATAGAGTTAATGGACCGCCATGACATACAATTATTATCTTAGATATGTATTCAAAAAATTCTAATGATTAAAAGATTTATTTTGATAATAAAATTCTGAGGAATGATCATGGCAAGGTAAGCCCGATGTATCCTGAGTCATGTCCCTTCAGCCTTCGTAGACTTTGTTGGATTGAATATTCCATTTCCGGTGGCATACAACTTGTCTATTCTAAACTGGAAAGAGTACGTCCTCGGTCCTGGTATCCTACATCTGAATTGCCTCTAAAATCTAAAATCCTCCAATATTTGCTTTGGTGGGTTAGCAACATAGCAAAGCTAATTCTACCAAAAACTGATTGTGACACAAATATTGGGTCACGATGAGAAGAAATCTCTAAACCCTTTAATTGGTTAATGCAGGTTCCGAGTCAGCTGAGTATGTATATGATGCTTAACGCAAACACTACGTCACTGCAAACCTCAACCTGATAAAGTGGCGCATTGGATGAATGGTTTCCCACCTACGACATATGCAGAAATAGAAATAACTTTTAAGTCCGACTGGGTCGACTTCTTTTAACAACAAAATACTTTTGAATTTGTAAATAATTATTACATCCATTACTATAATTCGTGAGTGATCGGTACATTAGAATCTTGCTTTTGCACATATACTAATATCGTAGCTAGTAATATTGTGACACAATTATACATGGTTCATTTCCTTTTCAGTTTGGATTCACGGGGGATTTCAATCTGGGACGTACAATTTCCTACTCTCTAAACCTTGGGTAAATCATAATGAAAATTTCTTTCTTACCAAAAGCTCACAACTAGATGGTTCTTTTATGTAATTATAACTTTAGTTTAATTATCTAATAAAAAAGTTTAATCATATTATAGGACAAAAAGGGGAAGGGTAAGGGGACAATTTGAGAATGGTGGTGACACTTCTGTCACCATTTTGGCTACGGCTTAATGGTTGACAAATAGATTGGACAAATTTTAGAGGGTTGACTAATGGCATTGGTGCATTATTTTTTTTATTTCTTTTATTTTTATAAGCATTAGACCTTTGCTTTGCACTTGCAACTGTGACAACCAATGACGACCACCAAATTGACAAGTATCAGACTCTAGACCCTGGAAAATTTTGGTCCTGACTGTCCTGAGTTATTGGGGAGGAATGCTTCCTTAACGCAAAGGTGCACCAAAAATATGTGCTTAATTGCTTAATTATTATTATTATTATTGATAGCTACGTTCGATATCGATCAAGTTGCGAGTCACATGGCTGGCTTGTTGCTGATCCACATCAACTTGACATGTGCGTTCCAATTGATTCTATGCATCGAAACCTTGCGGATTTCAAATGAAAGTAAAGTGATTGGTTTGCTCATCAATTTGAACAAGCTCTAAGTGCACGGTAAGATACTGTATGGGGTTTGAATAAAGATTTTAAGTTTGAATATTAGTGGTTTGCTCATTGATCAATTATTTTGGTAAAAGGAGGTCAATCCCATTCTTGTATAATGACAAATTAATATCATGGATACATCCACACACTCAAATGTAAAAGTATCATCATTGAATTTTGGGAGACAAGATAGGATAAAAGCATGATAAGCACAGATAGAAATTGAGTTTTTATGTAGCCTATGTTATTGTAATGGGTAGACACAAAATAGTTGGACACCGAGGATGGGATTAACATTTGCCTACTTTGTTTCAAGCAATTTCGTTTTTGGGTTTTCTCATTCGCTAGAGAGTACAAGTTGATGATTTCAAAAGAACAGACAAGTGGGTGGATTGATGGGAAATGGCGGCGGATGCTGTGACAAATCAATAAGATTTGCCAGCATTGCTTGTTTTTTTTTTTTTGGCTAAGTCAACGAATTTCCACTAATTCCTAGCAAAGAGGTCCAAATATCCCTATTTCCGCACATGATTCCACCTTGAAAAGTTTTGCTGTGTTTTGACATGGAAACTATGTTTGGTGAATTTGATTAGATACCCAATTGTTACTTTATATAATGTATATCAATCAAATCAAGCTCATCCAGCTAATTCCTTAGGCCACTTGTTTATTCCAAATTTATTCTAAACGAACCAAAAAAATGTTAATGATTCCTTTTTATCGATGTTTATCAATGTTTGTTGTTATTTTCAAGTTGTGAAGGCATTTTTGCATTCTCACTTGTCCTGAAATCGATTTCTTAAGGGGAAAAATGGGGAAAGATTAATTAAACAAGTAACCATTTTGGTCACCCAGATGAGGTGGGAGGCACTTCTCTTTCGGTGCGTTGATACTGGATTGGATGTAGCATTTTGAAATGATAAGTGCAAGGACTAAAATTAGTTGATCAATCAATGCCATGGACAATTCTCTAGTTTGTTTTTTGAGTAAATCACCTCCACATCTTTGCCATTTAACCATAATTCAACAGGTCCCAAAATTTGGGAAATACTATTGCAAAAATATCCTACCCTTACAGCATTCTGTCAGGATTGGTGTTATCATGTGCAACTCACGTGATGCCAAAATTACCCCTAGCTTTCTTCTTTCTCTTGAACTATGGGGTTGCCATCACCAAAGGAAACAAGCCCCTTTTCAAAATTTTTTTTGGGTTGAATTTCTATCTCTCATGCTTTCTCCTTCTCTTGCTTCATGAACTCTTAATTCCCTAGTTTTTTTTTGGGAATTTGGCCTAGAATTAGGCTTCTCTATCTAGTTCGAAAGGCTCAAAACCGTTACAATGATCTAAGTAATTTCCATAGCTTGCTTTTTGAGTAAGGAGTAGTCTCCTCTATCATGGGTTTGTGACACTGTTAAAACTTTTATGTGAGTGTAGTGTATTATGCATAATTCATAGTTTTCTATACCAAGTGTTCAGAATTGATACTTACGTTTGAAGTTGAATAAAATAACATCATAAAAACTTCAATAGTTTACTACATAAATGGCAATTTCTGTCATTCAAATATTCCAGATATTAGAACAGCTAGAAGATTGTCATGCAAGATGTGCTTGAATAGATTATTAGATAATAAGAATAGTAAATTAAGTTAACTAGCGGAAAGTTACACAATAGTTTATCCTTATTACACTAATGTAACAATTACAAGTGGATTGGGGGAGTATTTCCTAATAAAGAATTGGGAACAACATTATTTAAATGACAAAATAAAGACCAAACTTTTCAAGAGAATTTTCAAAGTGAAGGAAACATAAGAGGAGAAACAGAAAGAAACAACAATTGGGAGCTCAAATATTTAACCATTACCTTCTTTTAAGATAAGCTGCTGATTGGCAGAACTAGGAAACTAAAAGAATTAAATAAAATAAAATCTGCTTTATCTCAGTGCAAGCAAACATAAAAGACTTATTCCACCTCTTAAATTCAGTTAATCAATCTTATTTTGGTTAGAAGATTTTAATAAATAATACTCACAAATAAATTTATACTAAAATTTATTTTATCACTTTTACTCACAAAACTTTTCAAAGTATTAAGGTGAATAAGTTTTCTTTCTCGGTGAAAAAATGGTGCTAGTTTTTTATACAAAGCCCTTGTTGTATTGGCTCTTTGTATCCATAGAGGAGACGGATTGTACCTTGGTCTGGGTTGACCTTGGTATCCCTCATGGCGGGTCGACCTTAATGTTGTATCTCTCATTGGAGCCTTACATCAATATAAATTTAGATTTGTTCTAATATCACTTGTTATGAGTTCATATTTTCAATCCAAAATATATTCTTATTAAGTGGAAGAAGATGTTTATTTATAAACTCAAGATTTAGAATTTGATTCTTGGCCTCAAAATGAACACAACCGTTAAGCAGGTTCTTTAAAGAATAGGAAGACATCTTTTGTGCAAATCTATCTTGTTGTTTTTAATCATGCTAACTAAGTGAAAAATTGTAAAGAAAGGTATAATATTTATAGTACTTATGTTTTTATATGTAAATTTGGTAAATAAGTTGTTGAGTTTCTCAAATCAAAGCAATATATATTGTATTTTACAAGATTTGTGTAATTAAAATTATAACTGATCACATCTTGTCAATAATATATAACATTTAACTATTTGTCAATTCTTGATTGGTATTTAATTGTTTCCTCTAATAGTCACAAAAAAATTTTATATTTTGATAAAGTTTATT